AGATCATCTAGTTCCAAACCCCCCGTGCCACGGGGTTGAGAGATTTTGAGTTTCCTAGGAAAATACTTAAGTGTTTAAATCTCAGCCAAGGCATCCTCCGGCAGGTGAAAGAGAGGCTCAGCCTGTTGGTTGATCCCAGGAGTCAGAGGCAATCATGAGCGAGCAGCGGGACGTCGGCCGGATCCTGGCCCTCGCCGGTCGCTTCCGTCTGCTGCAGGGCGCGGGCAGGGCCTGCGTGACCCCGTTCCTGACGCTCTACCTCCGGCACCTGGGGCTGCCGGCCCCGCTGGTGGGTGTCGTGGCCGGAGCCAAGCACCTGGCGGCAGTCCTCTGGGCTCCCCTCTGCTCCCGCTGCCCCCAGAGCCGTGGGAAGCGGCGGCTCCTGGTTGTCACCTCGCTGCTGGGCTCGGTGGGGGCCTGCCTGCTGCTCACCCTCATCCCACCCGCCGACGGCGACGCGGGCTACAAGTACTGTAACGCCAGCCAGCAGGCGGGTGACCGAGGGGCCGCTGCCACGGCGCCCGGCCCGGGCAGCCACGCTGACTTAAGCACGAGCGCTACTACAAATGCCAAAGGTGCATGGAAAGAAACGGTGAAAACAACTGGTGATGTGTTAATGGCGAGCAGAACGCCAGCCCCAGCCAGCGCAGCCTTCCAGGGATTAGCTGGCCTGAGAGATACGCCTGAGAAGAAAGGCAGAGGGATTGGTGACGGCGATGCAAAGACAAATGGCTGCAATGGCTGCTCTGCTGGTCCCTCTGGCTCGACACCTTCTGTGAAAGCAGTTAAGTGGGAGGCAGGAGAGCCAGGAACGCTGGCTCCCTACAGACCGCCCTTGCATGGGCTCGAGAAGGAAAGGAGCAGTCTGCGTTCTGCTGCAACAGATCTCGCTGAAAGGAAAGAGATGTCTTGGTTTAAAGCAACTCTTCCGACTGCTGGAGGCGCTGACATGCCTGGAAAGCTTCCAGACCACTGGAAGGAGGCAGTGAAAAACCTCTTTCAGGACAGAGAGCATCGGATTTTTCTTATGGTACTGGCTACGGTCGTGCTCTGGGAGCTGTTGGCTACTTCTTTCGAACAGATGGTGGACGAGAGTCTCTACGAATATCTCGACTCGGTTGACGCGACGGACAGGTGTGGCAAGCTGTGGATTTGGAGTTACCTGGGTGCGTCCGTAGGTGCCTGCAGCATTGCCGCCTCCGTGGATCAACTGAATTGCTTCCTGAGCGGTACAATCACCCGCCTCGCTGTCCATTTCTATGGCCATGCTGCCCTGGTAACGCTCTCGCTGCTCGTCAGTGTCTTTTTTCCCGTCCACGTTCCCAAGAAAAGCAACCATGTTAACAAAACCGCCAAAGCCCTGGCCCTCCTGCGGAGCGACGGCCAAGCGATCCTGTACGCCATCACTCTCTTCCTCACCGGAGCGGCTGGCTCTGCGGTGCAGAACTTTCTCTTCTGGCAGATGCAGGACCGAGGCAGCAGGGAGCTCTGCATGGGGCTCACTGTGGCCGCTGGGCTACTTGCTGAACTTCTACTTCACTGCCTCCAAGGGACGTTGCTGAGGACTTTCTTGAGCAGCAAAGTGGTTGCAGTCAGCCTCAGCCTCCTGGCCGTGGAGCTTCTGAGCTACTCCTTCTTGTGGGCTGAGTGGGCAGCTCTCCTGGTCCAGGTTTTAGCTGCCTTCAGCAGCAGTGCTCTGTGGCGGGTGGTGAACAGGCTGGGGGGTGACACAGCCACTGCAGGCATGGAGAGGCCCCTGCACGCTGTTCCCCAGGGCCTCTGCTACGGTGGAGGAGCCAGCGTGGGCAGTTTTGCGGGGGGATTTGTTGTGAAGCGCTTTGGCCTGGCCGTTCTGTACAGGGCGTGCAGCGTGTGCCTGCTGCTGTGGCTCTGCTTGTTCTCCATTGTCCAGTCGAAATTGCCGCGGCAGAAAAAAGTTCACTACTCTTGTCTCCTGGCTGCGGGTTGCAGCGATAGGCGTGACTCTGACGAGGACGACGAGAGCCTCTGGCTGGTAACGGTTATGAGGGATGAGAGCTTTCTTCGGAACTGGTCACAACCGCATGGAATCTACTGACCTGTACCTGAATGCAGGAGGTGGAATGGGATGATGATGCCCAGAAATGAGTGTGAATTCCCAAGTGGTCAATATCTACAGTATGTACCTGACAGGACAGATTTTTATTTAAAAAATAATAAATATGTTTATTTTCTTAATTTATAGAGTTCTTGTAGTACTTTTGTCCTTTTAAACGTAATGATTTTTAAACGTAATGAAAGGAATTTCAGGTATAAATACGCTGAAATGAACGCAGCACAGTGTTTAGTCAAAAAGCAAACTTGAATTGAATTCTCGCTGCCCAGAGCTGGTGCTGTGGAAACTGTGAGCGACAGCTGCCACCTGTGCTCTGACACAACTGAATGACACATACAGGAACGCAAACAGCACCCTAAACTTTTAGAGGGTGCTATATCTGTGAACTCCTTTTGCTGAAT